TTTGGGTAAAGGTATTGATATCTTAACAATATCAAATCTTCCTGCCAATGAACACAGGATGTCTTTCCATTTTTAGATCCAGGTGTGTAGAAACATAATCGATTTTTGTGTGTTAATCTTATACTCTTAAATTTTGATGAATTCATTTATTAGTGCTAGTAGTTTCTTGTACATTCTTTGGGATTTTCTATATGTAGGATCATGTCATCTGCAAATAGAGATAGTTTTATTTCTTGTCTAATTGGATGCCTTTTATTTCCTTTTCTTGTGTAACTACTCTGGCTAACGTTTCCAGTAAAATGTTGAATACCAATGGTGAAAGTGAGCATGCTTGTCTTGTTATTGATGCTTGGGGGAAAGTTTTTATTCTTTCCTGGCAAAAATTTTAAACAGTTGAAAATAAAAGTAAACACTGATTGTCCTCTTAGTCTTCACTCACCTGTAGAATATAACTATATCTTCATTCTAAATTTTTGATAAACATTTTCAACTAACTTACCCCTAGAAAGTGATTCATAAGTCAATATTCTTGTTGCATGATTAAATAGTTAAAAATACAGTAAAGAGAAACTGAAAATTCTCAATTGTCGTTACCGGTTACAATTAAATTGTATAGATAAAAAACAAAAGCAAAGCCCAGTATTAATATTACTATTAAAAAGATTTCATTTGTATTAGTATAGAAATAAAAGTTACTTTTCTGCCTACAAGAGAATAAACCAGTGATTAAAAACACATTTTATACAGCAGAAGCGATCCTTGTGGTAATAGGACTATTCTATATCTTGACTGTGGAGGTGGATACATGAATCTACTCATGTGATAAAATTGCATAGAATACACATACATCCATACAAATAAATATATGTAAAACTCAGGATATCTGAATAAAGATCGGTGCATTGTGTCAACGTCAGTTTCCTGGTTCTGATACTGTACTACACTTTTCCCAGATGTTATCATGTCAGGAAAGTGGAAAAAGGGTACATATGATCTCTCTGTTGTACTTCTCATAACAGCATAATCTACAATTCTATGAAGATAAATTTAATGCAAATAAACCTTACAGAAGGACAGTCACCATTACTGCACTTCTGTAGCTGTGCCAGCAGCAGCAGAAATTGCCAAGAGGAAGAAAAGCCAATGGCAGTGAATTATATATTTTCCTTTTAGAGCTTAAAGAATATGGAAGTTCACATAAAATATTAATGTGTAGGTGTTTGTATATAAATGAGCTTTATTGACATGTCAGTAACTGCTTGTTTTCTGGGGAAAAAATCTTTTTAACCTAGAACATGGAACTATATTTTCTTGTTGGGAGAATTCTTACATTTAAAACTTGCCAAATTGATTAATAGGGAGTAGTTTCATGACATATTCATAAATGAAAAGGGAAGTGTAAAAGAGTATACGCTGTGTGCCATCTTTGTATAAGAAGAGAAATAAGATAAACTAAACAGCTTAAAAGTTATAAAAATAAACATATGAAAGGTAAATCAGAAACTAATTGATTTGGTTACCTACAGGGAGTAGGTAGAAGGAATGGGACAGGGAGTAACACATCTCTGTGTGTATTTTTCTGTGAGGTTTTGACTTTTAGAACCATATTAATGTTTTACATAGTCAATAAACAAAAAGGGATGAGCGAAAAAAATAAAATTGAATACAAACAGAAACAAGCTAACCTAACTACTTCAAATGAATAAATAATTCTTCAAATGAAGAACTAATCCAAGTAGTTTTGAACGCAGTAATTTGACTACATACCTTCTGACTAAAGACAAAAGCCTTGCAGGGTTGTTTTCAGCAATGCTATGAGTACAGGGATTCTGAAACTATTTTGTGTATGTTGTAGGAATAAGCAAACGTGCAAATGTATTGCTGCTGTTAGGAGCCAGAGATCTTTGAGAAGGGGTGTAAATGCAGAAAGGGGAAAGGCAAGGAAATATCTTCTCTCACTATGAACTCATGAATTTCAAAGAGGCCAACTAATAAAAGGAATGATGGAGTTAGAAAATCACTGCTGTGCAACCATCTTACTAATAACGGGCTCAGTAAATTGCCCTCCCCAGTGTGGGTGGGCATCATCCAATCCAGTGAGGGTCTGAATAGAACAAAAAGCAGAGGAAGGGAGGATGAGATCCCTGGCTGCCTGCTTAATCTGGGACATTGCTCTTCCGTTCTTGAACTGAGATTTACACCCCTGACTCCCCGAGTTGTCAGACCTTTGGACTCTGACTAGAATTACACCACTGGCTTTCCAGGGTCTCCAGTTTGCTAATGGTACATGGTAGGACTAGGCCTCCATAACTGCATGAGTCAATTCCTCACAGTAAATCTATCTACATATGTAATTATATAAATATACAAAATTCATCATTAATCCATTATTAATTAATAAGCATTAGATCAATAATGTATTTTACTGCCATTATTAATCTATCTATTAATCTAGCTAGTAGTTCTGCTTCTCTAGAGAACCCTAACCTACTACAATTGCCAAAACAAAACATAAAATGTTACAATCACTTAAAATTGATCTATAAATGTGAAATGTTACATTTAATTCATATTTTAAAAATCCAAGTCTTTAGAATGGTTTTACAAAGTAATAAAAGAAATCTAAACAAATGGAATAAATACAAAACCCATTCATTATTAAAGCTAATAAAATGGCTTTATTGACTAGGTTGAGTAGTTTTATAATGGGTGGAAAAAAACAAACAGAAACACATAATTTTTATATATTGTAAAATGTCTTGGCTTATACTTACATTCACTAATTCTAATACCAAGTCATGGAGTGATATATACAAATAACAGGGATCTTTACAAACAATATTGAGAGAAATTAAATAAATACAGGCAAATTCCTAAGTGACCAATAACAAAAGTTCTTGCTCCTTCCTTGCTACTTGAAAGCTCACTGCTATGAGAGCTATTATGAAAAAATCTGGAGCTGTAAGCAGATTGATGGGGTAAGAAGAAGACAAAGGGGAAAACACTACGAAAAGTTAGAATAGCATAAGTGGAGCTGATTCAGGGGAAAGCCACAGTTAAGTTCAGTTTGTTTACACAGTATTACTGTTGTCCAAAAATATTTTCTCCTTCCCTGTCTATCTACTTTTACTTTTGAGTTTGTTATGCTTCATATAATTATATCAGAAATTCATCTGGTTTAGCAGGTAACTGCTTTCAACTACAAGATATGTGATTCAGAAATTGTTATGCCACTTGCTTTCTATGTCCTTTTGTACAATTTGAGGTTTTTTTTTACTATGTACATATATTGTCTATTTAAAAAACAAAAATGTACATGTATTGTCTATTTACTATGTACATATATTGTCTATTAAATGAGTTAGACAAAAAAGAGAATGCTTTCCTTATGATACCTAGATGAGATTGGTTTCACCAAGAAATTGGAACTTTGGTTAGGGGAAGGATGAGTAGTAATTTACAACAAAAATATTCATGGGGAAGGGCACATGAAAATATTTGGAGCTGAGGGAAGTGTGACTAGGGAAAGCAGCTGGTAACAACAGACAAAGGGGTACAGGGGTAGATGGAAGAGACGCCAAACAAGGAGAGCTCTTGGAGAAACTCTTCCCTTTGTCCTTCTCGTACTCGAAGTGGCACTCACATTCTATATCTCTTAATGTAGACAACTACTGATTAATACTGTACTTCAGCTACATCATGTAGTCCTGACCTGGGGTTATGATCACAAATTACAACATAATTTATACAGAAAATGCATTCTAAGTCCCACTCAAATACTTAAAAATCTTTTGTAACATAACCCATAACCCATTTCTAAGTTAGAGGATGTGTATTAACTTATAACATGAGACAATAAGCTCCCAATGGGTAGAAGTTTCATTTTCCTCATCGTTACCCATCCATCATACTGTGTAGCACACAGAAGATACAGCTGAAAAGGTAAATGAGCTGAATACATGAACTACTTTGAAAATTTAACTCCCTGTTCTGCTTAACTCAGTTTTTCCAGCCTCAGTGGGTAGATATAAATATTCTTTCCAGAATACATAGGCAGTAACGTTACGCAAATAATGTCAAGCACCCTTGACAGGCCAATAGGAAAATGGTTGGTTGTTGGCAGGTAAGCCTTCTGCGTCGCTGCAGATCTCTTGACTCTGCTGGCTTCACTGTGCTCCTAGCTCTCGAACCAGCTATTTGTTAGGCATTATGTTCCCAAACAATGCATTACTTCTCTATCCCTCTAAGTCCGAAAAGGGTGTTTTCCTCAGTTTTACCCTAAGCTAGTCTCTTATGTGTAGGCTGGGGGAACTGGGCCAAATGAGTATTTAAATTAAGGTATCATACATCACCACCATATGAAACCTGCAAAACACATCATAAATAAAGTATTTTACTTCTTTAAGAAAGAATACTTCTACTCAGGTATAAACTATTTATTAATTTCTACAAAGAAATGATTTATCTTAAATTATCACTTTAACAAATATAACCCTTTTCTTTCAAGACACTTGTGTACATTATTTCAAAAGCAACAAACTTACTCATCATTGTCTTGTGTAGTAGATTCCTTTCTTTTGGTTATACATGTTTTCCTCCTTCCTATATGTGTACAATAAAAAGAACATAAAGTTAAGGCAAAAACTGTGAAATCTTACATAGAATTAAACTGCCAAATTTTAAACAGAAAATAAAAGGGTAGATAAATGAAAAGAAAGCAGGTAAAGAAAAGTATCCTGAAATATGGTATGAGAAACTTTTTCACTATTGTGAATGACTTTTCAACAGCTATTTTGGTTTTTATTATTTCCCATTCTCCTAATTTTTTATTCATGATGACATACAGAAAAAAACAATCTTTTGAATAAAATTTCCATTGGGGCATGGTATATTTAAAAGAAACCTAGATAAATCCAATTGGATAATATAATTAGTTTAAAATACATTAGTAAACTTTACTAAATAAAGGATACTTTCATCAAATATTTTAATCAAAAATACATTAAAATTCCAGTTCACATTATTTAATCCCTGTTTTTTGTCTCAGAGTTAACAACAAGGGATTGTTGGTACTAATATGTAGAAAATAGTGAGTTCCTCATGATATTACTAGAAAATAAATTTGATTTTAGGGGTAAAAGTATGTGACTGTTTGAATGCATATTAACTAGTGAATTCATAGAAAGATCTTTAGTGCCTATTAAAATATTTCAAATATTGTGTATCACTTACATGTGAAGTCTAAAAAATAATACAAATGAATATACATGCAAAATAGAAACAGACTCACAGATATAGAAAACAAACTTGTGATTACCAAAAGAAAAAGGGGAGAGAGGGACAAATTAGGGGCATGGGATTAATGGAAACAGACTATTATATATAAAATAGATAAGCAACAAGGACATACTGTATAGCACAGGAAATTATACCCATTGTCTTGTAATAACCTATAATGGAATATAATCTACAAAAATACTGAATCACTACGCTGTATACTTGAAACTAACACAATATTGTGTATCAGCTATACTTTAATAAAAAATGTATATTGATTTAGTAAATTCTTGGAAAGATCTTCAGTGCCCACTAAAACATTTCATTCATTAAAGTATTTATTTTAGGTATTAATAAAAGATAAATGATTAAATTACATCCATTTAAAATGCTATTATTTACTGCCATCGACTTAGCTAAACTTTCACAAGTTGACAGTCACAAATGAAACTAAGGCACATATATGACTAAGTTATAATCCCTCAAATGTGTGCTGGGTTGAAATATAAATTTGATTTTATAGCAGAAAATGATGTTTACACTTATCAGTGGTCAGGGAGTCAACTGTTTTATGAGCTGACTGTTTAGCTATTTGTTCTACAGTAATTTATAGTGCTATATGCAAAATACATGTTAAACATTCAGTGCATGAATATTTGAGGACACATTAGCATAGGTAAAATTCTCAGTATCTTACATATACTGGCCTTTGGTAAATGTTTATTGAATGAATAAACAAAATGAATAATCCAAACCTTTTACTACTAATTAAAATCAGTCAAGAGAAATCACTTTTTAAAATGTATAAACATTGGCATCCTCCTCAAACTACGTATTTTAATGTAGTTCTATCTGTTCAACAACTGGCACAGGAATTATTATTTACTCAATGTTCTTGTTATTTTTGTAAAAAGTTGTTTGACATAATGTACCATGAAAAACTAGCTCACACTCTCCAAAAGAAATACAATGTGAGCCACTTACGTAATTTAAAATCTTCTACTAGCAAAATTTTTAAAAAAGGAAGAACTTAAAATTTAAATATACCCCAAATATTCTAATTTTAACACATAATCAATATAAATTATTAATGAGATAACTCATATTCTTTTTTTCACATTAAGTTTTAAATATCTGGTATGTATTTACACATCATCAATTCAGATAAGTCAAATTCCAGATACTCAACATGTACATGTACTGTACAGTATAGTTGTAGAGAATACTGCAGGAAGATCCAATACTTCCAGATAAAACCAAATATACATAACATGAAGGCAATTTCTTTAAATCTTATATATAATTTTAACATATTAGGAATATATTGTCCAGGACAAACTACCCAATGATGGTTTACATTTTCCCTATCATTTAATTTTTATTCCATTACTCTTATTTGCTTCCATTACTAGAGGAAAGGCTTATTTAAAGTATATTTTCTATTCCCTGATATTTATAATTTCATTGAATGAGTTGGTTCAGAAACTGATTAACAATAATTTCCCTCATTGTTACTTTGGACTTTATGTCTTCTCTCCTCAATATTATGCCATAACTAAATTGTTATTTAAAAATTGTCCTTAATGCCATAAAGAGAAAAACTTATGATTCAGAAATTTTGCTATAGTACTAGTTACCTCTCTTGTTTATTAACTTTTCATTATTTGATTTGTCTGTATCCTTAAATTCCAAACAGAATAAATTAATACGGTTAAGAGTTTGTTTAGTGAGATGAAAGGGAAAAAAGAGTATTATTTTATTTATGATTTTAGAGAACTTAGGGGAAGTAAGTCTATTAAAATCTGTCTCTCTTAAAAAAAAAAAGTACATTTTATTGAAAACCACAAATGAAAACTCACAGTACACATTAAACCTTTATTTCATAAAATCTTTGCCTAAAGGTTAATACTAATTTCCTGGATTTTATATTATACTATCTGCAGTCAATAATGCTCCATATCAAAATCACTTTGTTTCTTTGATGTATGTATGTTAATACATACACACACACACACACACACCTATCTATATATAGTTGTGTACTTGACTCCCCTTAAGTGCAGTTTCACGAAACACTTGTGATAAATACCATCACTGACTCTGGACTACTTTCAAGATTGTATTTGGACTTCCTGGTAAGGCTCCTGGGAGCCTGTTCTTCAACTAATGAAGACAGCTTTCAAGAGATTGCAACGTTTAGAAGTGTAACCAATGATGATGATGATAATGGCTAACACTTACAAAGTATCTTTAGGACAAGGTAGTGTTTTAAACGTTTTATAAATATATACATAAACTAATTAATCTGCACAGCTCTGAGAGAGTCACTCTTATTCTCATTTTATAAATGAGGAAACAGAGGTACAGATGGTTATATAACTTACCTAAAGTCCCAAGGCCAGTAAGTGTCAGAGTCGGGATCTAAAGCCAGCCATTTGTCTGCAAAGAGCGTGCCATTAACAATGATGCTATGCTTGTTTATTAATAGATTAATCTAAAGTTCAAATAGGTTTAGTCTGGTATCATGCTGCTTCTAGCTACATATACTTTACAGCTGGCACACATCTCAGGCATCATTTGGTCCCAAAACAAAAGTTACGAGTTGAGGAACTTGACCCAGGGAGGTTCAAATGATTTGTTTAACAGGTGTCACACACTAGTTTTCTTTCTAAAAAAGTTACTGCCAGATAAAGTTGGAGCCTGTAGCCTAAGAGGCAAATGAGATCCTGTTGTTTTTTTAATTAATCACTTCTATGCAATAATTCATGTTTACATCTTGTACTATTTCCTTTCCTCTACTTTTTAGAGTTTGCCCTATTGTTATATCTTTTTGAGTTGAATGCTAAGCTCATTAAGTTTTCAATCATTCTTACTTTGAAAATAAATGCATTTATAAATATAAATTTTCCACTAAGGAATCTTTAAGTACCATGCAGTGTTTAGGTATAAATTTTTCCCTGTAAGTGCTGATATGTTTTCATTATCATTCAGTTCTAAATATTTTATACTTTCCAACACAAAACACCCCCAAATAGCCAAAAAAAACTTGAGAAAGAATGAAGCTAGAGTTTCACACTCTCTGATTTCAAGCTACCCTGCAAAGCTATAATCAAAACAGTGTGGTACTGGCACAAAAGCAGACATATGGGTCATTGGAACAGAAAGAGCCCAGAAATGAACCCACACTTTTTTGGGCAATTAATCCATGACAAAGGAAGCAAGAATATATAATGGGGGAAAACAGCCTCTTCAATAAATTGTGATAGGAAAACTGGACAGTTACATGCAAAAGAATAAAAATCTCACACCACGCACAAAAATAAATTTGAAAGGGATTAAAGGCTTAAATATAAGACCTAAAACCATAAAACTTCTAGAAGATAACATAGGCAGTAAGCTTTCTAACATCAGTCTTAGTAATATTCTTTTGGATATGTCTCCTCAAGCAGGGGAAACAAAAGCAAAAACAAACAAATGGGACATCAAATTAAAAAGCTTTTTTGCATAGCAAAGGAGAAACTATCAACAAAACGAAACCTACTGAATGGGAGAAGATATTTGTAAATGATATGTCTGATAAAGGGTTAATATCCAAAGTACACAAAGAATTTATGCAGCTCAACATCAAAAAGACAAACAACCTGACTAAAAACATGGGCAGAGGAACTAAATAGACATTTTTCCAAAGAAGACAGACGGATGACTAACAAGCGCATGAAAAGATGTTCAACATCACTAATCATCAGGGAAAAGCAAATCAACCACAATGAGATATGACCTCACACCTGACAAAATGGTTATTATCAAAAAGACAAGCGATAACAAATGTTGGCAAGAATGTGGAGAAAAGAGAACCCTTGGTGCACTGTTGGTGAGAATGTAAATTGGTACAGCTACTATGGAAAACAGTATGGAGGTTCCTCAAAAAGGTAAAAATAGAATTACCACAGGACCCAGCAATTCCACTCCTGGGTATTTATCCAAAGAAAATGAAAACGATTATTAAAAAAGATATACCCACCCCTATATTCACTGCAGCATTATTTACAATAGACAGGATATGAAAGCAACTTCAGTGCCCATCAATAGATGAATAGATAAAGAAGATGTGGTGTGTATGCATATATATGTTACTCACCCACTAAAAAAGAATGAAATCTTGCAATTAGCAACAACATGGATGAACTTAGAGGGCATTATGCTATGCGAAATAAGTCGGACAGAGAAAGACATGTACCATATGATTTCATTTTATATGTGGAATCTAAAAAACAAAATAAATCAACATAACAAAACAGAAACAGTCATAGATACATAGAAAAACCATGTGGTTGCCAGAGGAAAGGGAAATGGGAGTGGGCATGAGAAAAATAGGTGAGGGAGATTAAGAATACAAACTTCCAGTTATAAAACAAATGAGTCACAAGTATGAAACGTACAGTTGGGGAATACAGTCAAAAATGATGTGGTATCTTTGTATGGTGACAGATGATAACTAGACTCATGGTGGTGATCATTATATGACATATTACTGAATCACTATGCTGTGCACCAGGAACTAACATAGTGTTGTATGTCAATTATACCTCAAAACCAAGCAAAAGAATGAATAGAAAAAGAGATCAGATTTGTGGTTACCAGAAGCACACAGCAGGGGGAGAGGGGATTGGAGGAAGGTAGTTAAACTTCAGTTATAAGTATAAAGTTCAATCATAAGATAAATAAGTACTAGGGATATAATGTACAACATGATAAATATAATTAGCACTGCTGTATATTATATATGAAAATTGTCAAATGAGTAAATCCTAAGACTTGCCATCACAAGAAAAACAAGTTTTTTCTTTTTCTTTTATTTTATATCCATATGAAATGGTGGATGTCCACCAAACCTACTTTGGTAATCATTTCATGATGTAAATCAAATCATTACGCTGTATACACATACTATATTACACAGTGCTATATGTCAATTATATCTCAGTAAAATTGGAGAAAAATAATATTGCTTGAATGATGATAAAGACAAATTGTCTATATACTTCCTAACTTTTTATCCATTTTATCAGTTTCTGAAAAAGGTAGTTTAAAATCTCCTACTACGATTAGGGATTTGTGAGTCTCTCCTTGTAATCCTGTCCTATTTCATCATGTTCTGTTTGAGTTTTATTTTAGATGCACATAGGTTCAGGATTCTTTTTCTGGTAGTGAATCTTTCCTTCTCTCATTATGTAAAAATTCCTGTTATCTTCAACAAAGCCTTTTTGTCTTAAAGTCTATTTTGGTCTATATTTTCTTACACCAACTCTTAGCTTTTTTAAAAAGCTAATATTTGCTTTTTTTACTATCCCTTTACACTAAATCATCCTATATTTTTTCTTTAAGTCTAAATAATAATAATATTAATACCAATAGCTAAAATATGTATGGAACACTTACTGTATGCCAGGCACTGTTTTACATGCTTTTTGTATGTTAATTCATTTAATGCTCATGACAATCCTGAGGTAGATATTACTATTTCCCCCATTTTACAGGCAAGTAAACAAAAACACTATTAAAAAGTTAATTGACAGATACTCCATCTGCTTCCTGAGAATTACAAGGATCTTAAAACTTGTAATCTCTTTCTATTTCCTCACCTTCCTGCCATGCTGCCATGCATGGTCTGTTAGTATTTGTTTTTAACTTCCTTTCAAATTGTTTTCCTTTTGCTTTATAGTCAGCCAAATTTGCAATCACATTTTTATATTTATATTTATATTTACATTTTGCCAGTATGTTTGCTAATTTATTTTTCACTATTGCTCTTCGCATTTCATTCCTTTATTTGAGGCTCAGTTACGAGGATGTGCTTATAGAAGTATATTCCTTAGTAGTCCTTTTAGGGAATACCTGTGAATGATAAATTCTTTTCAACTTTGTCTGAAAATACCTTTATTTTATTCTTACTTCCTGAATAAAAAAATTCAACTGTGATTTTGAGTTGTTATTATTAGTCCATTTCCTGCAGCAGCCTATTGATACTGATGAGAAAGTCTATTGTTAGTCGGTCATTGTCTCGTTGCTTTTAAATTTTTCTTTCTCTCTGACGTTTGCAGTTTTACCACAATATGATTAGGTATGAATTTGTTTTAATTCACCCTGCTCAGATGAAGCATACTATTCTACTCTAGAAATTCCTGTCTTTTCTCAATTATGAAAAACCGACAGTCCTTATATCTTAGGTACTGCCTCTGCTCCATTCTCTCTCTTTCCTTCTTGTAGAACTTCTATTTGACATATGTTGGAGCTTATTCTACCATCATTTCTCTTTAATGTTTTATCACATTCTCTATCTCTTTATTTCTCTGTGCTGTTACACTGCTACAGTCTGGGTGATTTCTAGAGATCTATTGTCTTATTTACAAGTACTCTCTTTGACTATGCAAATTTTTTGTTTATCCCTCTACCCTAAATATTAAAAAAATCTGATGCAATCTTGGGAGTAAAAGAGAGGACAGTTTTACCATCCTTCCTCTTCTCTGAAAAGGATAATAGCTTGGAAAATTTTGCTAAGGGGTAGGGGAGGGGACAGAAATATAATTATATACATACAAACATATATAAATATAATAAATATATATTACAGTAAATAATATGTATGTGTGTGTGTGTGTGTGTGTGTGTGTATATATATATATATATATATATATATATAAACACATATATATCTTAAACGTATGGATTGGAAGTTCATTGTAGCGTAGCAATTTCTGAATTATTTAGGGGCATGTTTGGGCCATGGAGTGTAAGCAGAGAGAAGACTTAAAACCAGATTTTCTTTCCTTTTATAACTACAGATGGATTTAAATTTAATATTGTCACCTGTTTACACAGCATATGGTTCAAATGTACACAGAAAGTTCATAAAAATACCTGGAGGAGGACTATCCCAGATTGAGAGAATTCCAAGTACAATGACCTTGTGGAGAGAAGGGGCTTAGCATGACTGACAAACGGCCAGAAGTAACAGTGGCTAAAGTAGTGTAAGCATGGTAAGGGCAGTAGAAAATGAGGCAAGTAAGGTGGTCAGGTATTAGATGATGGATGGCCCTAAAAGTCATGAGAAAGTTTTGAATTACATCCTAAATATGATGCGAAGTGAGTAGCACCTAAAATGTCCTTGAAAGTGTTATTTAAGTAGAAGTACTTACTTAAATTTTACCTTACATTATGTACAATATTTTAAAAATGAGAATTGTTAATAGAAGTTATGACTTCATTTGGAACTTAAATTACTTTACAGGAGTCACACTTTCCTATTTCTAAAACATATATAGAATGACATATTAGGACAAGCAATGTAATGATTATAAATGACATAATCTGATACAAGATCCTAGACAGCATTCTCCTATTCTGAGACTTCTGTATGTGATACATTGAGATATATATATGTGAAAGAGTATATAAAACACATAGATACAGTTTAATGAATAATTATAGAGTGAACTAGCATAACCACCATATAGAAATAGAATATTACCAAGCACCCCAGAAACCGTTGCCTTCTGACTTTTTAAAAAAGAGCTTACCTAGTACTACAATCTGTGATAATTATCCACCTAAATGTCAACTGGGATCATGTGACCAATCTTTTTATGGGCAGAAGAAATGTTCTCTTAAGTCCATATTTAATTTCAATATGGAAATTGAGTATGTATCCACTTAAAGTCTATTCAGATGTGTCATCTCTAAGGCACTAATTTTTAACTTTAAACAAAAGACAATATCAAGTGAATTAAAAAAAACCCAGAACTATAGAGCCTGTAGAAAACATATACATCTTCATATATTTTTGTGAAAGCAAACCTAATAGTGGTAGCTTTAAGATAAAAAGCACTTGATTAAAGTAAAATAAAAGTCATTCAAAAGTTTAAGATCTCATTACGGGTTTCATTACAACAAATTAGGTAAAAAGAGGAGACTTTATTTCTGTATAGCTTCTAGTATATGTCTAGCACTCAATAAATATTGAACAATAAAATATGAATCAGGCTAATCAAAGCATATCTAAAATATACTTTATTAAATTTGAGCCTACTTCATATTTTATACTATAGAAACTTGACATGTCACTGATTCATGACCTTTAACAATATTAAAAATTAAACTTATGAAATCTAGATTTCTGTATCTTTTAAATAAATATATTAGCAATAAACTACCAGAGAACAAGAAATATGTATGGTCAAAATTAAACTAATAATACTTTAAAATAAAGAATTCCATGTTAAAAAAAATTCTACAAAACTTTTGCAAATACATTTAAAATACTAAAGGAAAAGAAGGTAATGAAATATAATAAATAAAAGCAGGCTATAAAGACACGAAATGTGAATAAAACTAAATGGATAACATGGATAAAAATAACATTTAGAAGTATCACTCTTAAACTGCAGTGCAGGAGTACCTGAATCATGTGGCCTTTAATGTATGCACACGATGGACAGCGTGTTAAGGAGCGTATCTGTAACCGTTATAATTGATCGTGGCTGAAGGCAGTCAGGCCATAATTTCTATTTAATGGATGGGATAGTAAGGGAGCAAAGTCTGCAGTAGCATTTTAAAATAACTGCCTAGAAAGTTTACATTTATGTCCAAAGTGTTACCTATATTCTAGTCTATTCTGTGTTGAATTCTTTAAAAAAGAAGAGAAAAATCAGCTGCAGCAAGATCCATATATTATACAATCAAAATTCTGATTTAACCAATAACTAGAAAAATCTTACAGTAAGTGGAAAAGAATGTTCAACTAACCATTTGATGGTCCATTTTTGTGCTCTTGTTCTTTAAAGCTTGTGGGAGAAGCAAATGGGCTCATTTGACAAGTTCCAGTTGTTGGAGAATAGGATGTAATACTTTTTTTCCTTGTGATTTTTGGAGAATCAAATGACTAGAAATAAATATTAATTTGGGACAAAAATACTTATGTTTAGTTATAGATCTTTGGAAATACATTTGAAAACTTGCAAAATTCAAACCAATACTCTTTTCCTTGCTCCTTCCTTTTTTGGGGGAGGTGGTGAGGGAGAGATCCTTCGGTCCGTTCTTCCTTTCTTTCTGGAGGTACTGGGGATTGAACCCAGGACTTTGTGCATGCTAAGCACAGTGCTCTACCACTGAGCAAAATACCTCTCCCCTTCTTTTTAAATTTTAAATATTCTCATTACCTTTAAAGTGAACATTG